TTTTTAGAAGGGACTGAGTGCTTAACAGAAATACCTCACTAGAATGTCAGAACCGACAGACCTACCCATGAGGACAACCATATCTGAGTGAACTTAAACTCAAAAAGGGTTTGTGTGCAGAGCTTAAAATGAAAAAGAGAGGGGTAGTTGTTGTGAGCCAAAAAAAATGATGAGAGTTGTGTCAGGATTAAAAGATCAAAAGAATCTTGTTCTAAACTTTTAAATTTCGGACATACCATGTAATCTATTAGTTCGCAATTCTTTCGAGACTAATATTGAAATAGTCAAAGCCCAAGCCAATTCTTGTCACAACACCACCAGCTACTCATTTATCTCTTAACAAATAAGTGTTTCAATAACACTTGGGGCATGCAGCTCAGAATCTATCAGTTTCTCATTCGAAGAAAGTTGATATTGAAAAATAAGGATATATGTCCCTCCTTCAAGTCTTTTTTTATCACTAATTGAGTCAGATAAATTTGTGTAGTCCACACGGTTTATTTTTTTGAGCCTAAACAGAAGCATACGTTGCTTTATTTTTCTACACTGCACAACTTTTGCAATTTATATGTTATTTTGCTGAAACATTCATAGATATACTTTTTATAAGATATCAATGATTGAATGGAAGACCTGGTGAGATGAACCTCAAAAAGTCTCATATATGAAGTACATCTGTTGTACTGAGTATATTTGTTATATTCATAGGCCAATCTTTTTATAAGATTGAAAACAATTTCATTAGTTTAAATTGGTTGTTATTTTTCCATCCTCTTAATCTGAGAAGATTATAAAAGTGGATTTGAAAAGATCTACTTACAATTTTATGAATTGACGGCTCTTGCTGAAGATTTCATTCATTCTAATGTATGATGTTAATGATTCTCATTTTACCATAAGGGGAAGTATGAAATAATGAATGAAATAATCAATTCTGAATGATATAAGGCGAGTATGATATAATATAAAAATCAAGAGGGAGTAACATCAACGGGGAGTATGAGATAAATATTAAGAACCGGCAAAAGACTCAAAGGAGTGTGACTGAAGATTATTACTGAAAATGATTCATGTGCTACATTGTTTGAGAGACGTTGAATGTGAAGATCTCATATTTACAAAAGTTTACTGATAAAGATTTCTTAACGAAGAGAATGTTTAATTTTGGGAGAGAATGTTTGTGAACTTTTAACTGAAGAAATTCATTTATGGGAAAAATGTTAGTGTTTTGTTATCTGAAGAAGATTCTTTGAAGATCATATCTTGAAGATCATTTCTGAAGATTGTTGCTGATATTGTTCTTTATTGTAAAAAGAGAAGATTGTTGTTGTTCTATATTCGAGGGGGAGAATGTTAGAAGATTTTCTCAACCAAAAGATCGTCTGAAGATCATAAAGCTGAGATTGTTAGAAGATTGTTTTTGAAGATTTCAAAAAAAGTCATAAAGAGCTTAAAGCGTCAAAGTTCAAACGAGATTCAAAGTGCGCAAATTCTTTCAAGCCTGAATACAAAGGGGGAAAATGTTAGGACTGAATTTTAGTGAAAAATTGTATTCATCTTGAAAGTTTATAATTGTCAATAATTGTATAGTTAGCGTGTTTGACTTTGTAAGTAATGTTGACTTTGACTAGAAGGGTTTATAGTTTGACCCTATATATACTTTTGTCTTGTAGTGAAGTAGAGTAGAAGAGCTTATTGTAAACATTACGTTCATTTGAGAGATATATAGAAGTGTTGACCAGATTGACTTTTCCTCTCAAGTTCTTCATAGTGTTCTTACTGTTAAATATGAATCTGCCATTGATTCTATGAAGATATATGAAGATTGATCATTTTGTGGACAAACAGAAACATAAAAAGCAAGTGGAATAAAAGAAGAAGATGGGAGATCAGCTAAAGAATCTTCAGAGATCAAAGTTAAAGGTGAGCTTTTCATTTCTCTGGAATCTTTGATGAGATTCCTCTTCAGTTGACGAGACTACTCATGATTAAGCAGTATCGCAAAAAGAGAACTTAGAGAGAGGGATGACATACCATTGGACATTTTGAGACACATAGAATATGTATCCCAAGATTCTGGCAAACATTCCAGAAACTTTGTCAAAAGTTTCAGAATTAGAATATTCCCTGCCAACAGTCCTCAAGTCGATAAGAAGACAATTAAAACATTGATGTACTTCAGACAATGTTTCATTCTTTCCACAAAGAAAACTTTCGTATTATCTTACTAGATTAATCTTCCTCGACTCTTGTACTTGGGAAGTACCTTCATATTGAACAAAAAGAGTGTCCCACATGGATTTCGAGGTTCTAAGTTTCATAACAGAATGATAAACGTCGCCAAGAAGAGACATGGTTATTATAGATCTCACTCGAGTATCTATAGCCACTTTCTTCTTGTCTTCACCACTCCATCGATGAGGGACCTTTGGAATCTGCCGTTCAGGAATTGCGGCAGTCGTAGCTGTTTCAGGAATAGCAAGAGATATAGCATATGAAACATAAGGTCCATTCTATATATAGTGTGGAATCTCAGGATCCACACCCTCCAAAAAGAGAGACATCTGATTTTTCCAGAGACTGAAGTTGTCTCTTATAAATCGGGGAGGTTTGGCAAAAGAGCCATTATCATGAAAGTTTGTGTTAGTGTTTTGTAAAAGCCATTTGTAAAGCAGTAAATTATCTAGAGAAAGAAGAGATAATAAAATGCAGATGAACAACTAAACAAGACGAGAAGAAAACACTGCTTTGATACCACTTGTTGGTCCCAACCGGATCTACAAGAGTTAAGAGGCGAAAAATTTGTAGAAAAGGAGGGGGGGATGAATAAAAACACAGAAAACTTTCATTTTTAAAAATATATATTGATATAGAAAGATCAATACAGATTTTTATAGATTGTTTGCGGAAATAGAAAAGGTAAAGATAACTTATCAAAAACAATCTTGGATTACACACAAATACACTTAGCAAATATAAGAAATTTGTCGAATAAGATAAAGACAGAAAAGTGTTCTTCTTGGGTAAGAACGTTAGAATTTCAGAGAAATTCTAATTTGCTTGAAGATAAGCATATGTGTTCTTTTGTGTGTTGTAGATGTAGTGCCTGAGGAGAACACTCAACTATTTATACCCATTGCATTAAATACAATTCAGAAGGGTTAGAACACACATCAAGCTTTTAGAGGAAAGCTTTTCATTTGCAACAGTGAATAGTACTATTGTTTATTCATGAACAGACAACCTTTCATGGAGTTGGTGGGCACTAGAGTCGACTAGTCGGCTCTGTGCAGTACTATACTCTTGAAAGGGTATGAGTTTGTCATTTGTGTATGGAAGGACAAGACAAACAATCATGCATGGCAAGCTTCATTTTATCATTGAATGCCGGAATAACACTGGAGGTCTCTTCAACATTCACTGAGGCTTGTGTAGTCTTCACACGTACGTTGACCAGATTGTAATCACTGAATACCACTTCAGATCACGAACGCGCCAGTCACTAATCTTCAATTTCAGTCTTCGACATTCACTGAAGGTTCTTGGGTGTGATTTTTGTCTTCTTGAAGTATCGTTGTCGCTGTAGGATTACAGTGCATGTTTCAACGATCACTAAACAGACTCAGTGATGGTCGCTGAAACTGAAAAGACATAAACATAATACTTCGAAAGGTAAAAGGGATTATCATCAAATCAATGAGAGAGAGGATCAACAGAAATGAAGATTTAATTTGTTCTATAGCAATGTTAGAATTACTTGCATTGTAACTGAAATTGTCTAAAAGATGGGATTTACATGTGCAATTGTGTGGTAAATTTTGTGATGCAGATCGATTGGTAGCAAGTAGTCTATGATTATTATATGTATTTATATTCAAATCAATGAACTCACTTTGCAATCTTGGCAAGATTTATCTGTTGTCAATGAACTCACTTTGTAGTTAAATATATTTATTTAACAGATTTTGTTATATAAAAATATTGAAGATTCAGGGAAGAATTACATGTGATGGCTTGTTGTTGTTTTGAATTAGGAATTAGGCAAAATCGGGTTAAGAATTGAATTAAATAAGTTGAGTTTTAAGACATCACTCTTTGGCTTTCGGTGCTCCCAAATGCTAGCAATAATATATGAAGTTGTAATTTGTTTGGTGATGCATATGATCTAAAGTTATCATTTGATAAAATCTCAAATCCCTCCAATTTCAAATCCTTCTACAAAATCTAAATCGCTCAAAAACATTCCATCAAACCAAATGGACCATTAGTGTTTACTTTTGTCGTTCGACAAACTTTTAATGACAAGGTTGATCTTGATCAGTTTTGAAAACAATATGCGGAGACATGCCATCAAATATAACAGGGTATCAAATTATGTCTCATTTGAAAGAATACTCCAAATATATTTTGGGTACACATTTTTTGTTTGTAAAATTAGATTATGTATGATCTAATTTTCAATCATTATGAATAAAAATCGACTTGAAATAAGAATGGCTCAAAACCCAAAAAGTTGATTTAAATCACCACATCTTTAATGCTTGTAGCTTTTTTTTTTTTTTTTTTGATATCTTGCCTTAGAAAGGATTTGGAAAATTGAATTATATTCTTTCCACTTATAACTACAATTACAAAGGGGTTTGTTATTATACACATTCCATATAAAAGATCTGTTTTTATACGAATGATTGCAGAAGCGACTAACACCAACATTTCGCATAAATGATTATTTGAATTTACTGTAAATACAAATTTTTTAAGCTTTATAATATCTTAAAAAATTTGATATTTCAAAGTTGAATAAATTTTAATGAACTTTTACATGCTACCCCGATACAAGAGTAAACAACTAATCTATGCTTCTGTATAAAAGCATATTAAAAAAATTGAGGTAAATTCTTAAATCTATCGATTACCAATTTAACCGCTTAAGGTACAACTCCATCAATGCCCTCTCACAGATCACAACCCTATTATTAACAATGTCAAACGCAAATTCCCAAAACAGTGGTTATCGCTCAGAGGTGCAAGATCACGATTTAGCTTATTCAGGACGACGATTCATACTCTCAGAGATGCAGGGGGGTTTTTTATATGTGGTCCTATCCGTCTTCTCATACGATTCATCTCACTCCTCTCCACGATTGAAAACCAAGACACAAATCAAGTAGATATTTTAGGGTTTTCTATTTGATTTTCTTCGATCCCTTCTCGAAGGTTTTCTCTCCCATTTTGGGTTTGATTTTGTTCGTTGCAAACACATCGATTCACCATTTTCTGATTTTATCCTATTTTTGTGCATCGATTCACCGTGGCTTGGTTTGATATTGTAATCTATTTTACATCTTCAATTTTTGTTTACATGTATTTGAACAGATACATTCTGTTGCACTCAATTTACTCGAGTCTTTATTGCACTCAAATTACTCCAATTATTCTGTAGAGGTAATATTAGTTTGCACTTCAACAACAGTCTTTTGGGCATTTCTGGTCACACCTTATACATATAAAATAGTCATGCAAACGTGAATATTGCTACGAACATGTTCTGCATGTTTAACCAATATTTTTCAAGTAACACAACATGGTTATCAAAATCCCACTCATATCTTGGTCCAATCTCTCTACAAAAAATACAATAATGTGTCAAAACCCGACTCGTATCTCTTGCATATGGATATGTATCACTGTGTGTTCAGTCGGTGGTTATCGTTCAACTGTTGTTTTCGAAAACTTCCTTCATATTTGAAGTTTGTACTGACAGTATCACTGTCATCATATGCATTTTCCTGTTTCACATCGATATATCCTCCTGTTTTTAGAATCTGCATCATTTTTAGAATCTACGTCGATGTATTCTTGGATTCTGGTTCTTCATGGCTCCATCTCAGTTTAGGTTTTATCGATCGCATACTCTTAATTTTGATCATCTTCATCATTTTCTATATATCCTGTCTTCCCCAAATGGTTATGCATTCTGTTTTTTGTTGTTCAATACAATCTTCAATCACTGACCAGCAGATGTTAGCAATTCTGTAACCTTTCTCTAGAAGGATTTATCTATGACCCTTGTATGATTTTGTTGTCTGATTATTTCCACTTGACAATCTCTTGGCAATTAGATACTTTGGCCATAAAGAATGGTGGACAAATTTAAACATTGTATATTTTAGGATAAAAGCAATATCTTGGTGGTTAGGACCTAAATGTGCACATTGCTATGTGATTAGGATTACGACAGGGTTTTTAAACTAGAGCTTTAATCATTAAATTAAAATCTATTTGGGTATGTATGGTCTTCTTCTTTTCTTGATTCAATGGTGTAGGATTTTTTATTTAGATCAAGTGATGTGATATTTAAATATGTTCTTTGCATAGATGAACTGAATCATAAACAAGTGTTGGAGTCATTGTTGAGGTGTTAGAGTGCCTAAATTATTGGATTAGCTATCCTTAAGTTATTTTGTTTATGCATTACGATTTGAAATGTTAGTCAAAAATATGTTGAATACTGTAGCATGTGAGCCTAAATTTGTAACCTTTTGTGTAGAATCACAGTTTCGATAATGTGACTGTACGGCCATTCTCGAATAATACATTTAGAAGAGTGAACATAAGCTGTTGTGGCTGGAACTTGTGTGGATATGGGAGTCCTCTACATAGATATGGCCTATAATTATATGCTTTTCAATGGATTGTTGAAGTCAATGGGAAACCAACTCCTTGTTTATATGCCTTTGTTGATGTAACAAAGGTACGTCTTACTAAAGCAAAATCAAGGTGTGATTCTACAAAAAAATTAGTATTTATAAATAATCCTGAAACTTGATTTGCATTTCAGGAAATAGAATACGAAGAACTTGTTCATGTGAAGACAGTACACAGCAACGCGAAGCCACAAGTGCTGACACTGAAACAGGACTTGCTCTACTCACGTACTTGGGAAATGAGGTTTGATCCCGAAACTGCAATGTCACAGCGCAAGATGACGAATAAAGCATTATGAGGTGTATATATACACACAGAGAAAGGATCACAATGATATATTTAGGTCATCAGTGTTGTATTAGATTAAGAGCTGATGACACGAATGATTCAAGAACCAGTATCTCTGTTCCTGAAGTTTCATGTTGTAGGTAGATTAAAACATGTAGCAGCATTGAAGTTTTTAAAAAAAATTACTTTCATTGGTAACTTTCTGCATAATGGTTTCACCTGTCGTGCACCATTTGTTGTTGCACAAGGTACAAGCTACACATGTAATGCACTGGATATAGATCGGGGAATTACCGCTTCTATGCTCTCTACGGAAACAGTCTATTTTCTATTCAAGGCAGGCGTACAGTCTACGGATACAGAGACCCTATTATGTATGAAATTTACTAGATTTGTTTGGTTTGGTTTTGATTTTGATTTGCAGTACAATGCTTGTAAATGGAGATCTAAAAATCCAATATCCATTTCAATATCTACTTCACATCTCACCTGTTTTTATGTTCATATAGCGAATGCAAAACAACAAAAGAAAGAAGAGCAAGACGAAAGCCTACAAAAGGTGTCCATGTCTAAAAGAGAAAACAGCAAAAAGGAAAACATGAAAATTGTTTCATTCGTTATACAAATATGTTCCTTGTTCACATTTTCACAACATATCAAAAAGACGAAACTTGACCACATATTCTAATTCATTTGATATATTTCATTTCAGTTTCGGTCTACCAAATGCATCAGATACTATCTTATATGCATTGAGCTCTCGTTGTCCACAGTAATTACTGATGGGAGGCAGATTAGATTGTTCATATGTTGACAATATGGTTTGATGAATATTGCTATGGTTACTTATTGTGGTATTTCATATCAAAATTGGAGTAAATGGGGTTTGGTTTCAAATTGGTGGTTGCTTATTCATGGAAATTGGTGGTTGCTTATTCATGGAAATGGGTATTTTAGGTCTTTGGCAGATTCAACATCTTTCATTTTTTCCTTTCCTTTGTCTGAAGATTTCATCGATGAAGAATTACCAGATTTCATTGGGGACTTGATGTGACAGCAGTCAAATTCGAAATCCCAAGTTAGCTATTATTAAGATTATATTAGTATTATTGAAGTTATTTTATAGATTAGGAGTTAGTTAGATTAATTTAGTTGAGAAATTTTAAGAATTTCYGRTAGTTGCTTAGAAAGTCCGGTTCCGGTCCGAAATTATCCGAAATGTCCTATACAGTACCAATTGCTCTAATTTATACCCAATTTATATAAAACACTAAGATTTAGTGTTTTAAATATAAAACCTTTCTATTTAAATAAATTTAGTCATCGTGGGCTTTTAAAGTGAAGAAAAATGTCAAAATAAAAAAATCGGGCTTTTGTGCATTTTGGGCTTTCCTTTTTATAAAAAAAAATTATGTGTGAGGGTGGGCTTGGGCCCTTATGGCTGGCCTTTTTTCCCCCATTTCCCTCCCTTGGCCACATATAAATACATTTGTTTCTTCATTATTTTCATTTCTCCATTCAAAAATTCAAAACTCTCTCATCTCTCTCTCCCTAGAAAACCCGAGAGTCACATTGAAGATCCTTTACTCCACCCTCTCTATTCCAGCCGATTTTCACTCCAATCTTCATCATCAAGGCAAATTTTTGAAGTTTCAATCATAATCTCGTACAACACCCAAGGTAATACCTTCATTCCTTTTTCATTTTCTTGTATGTTTTGGGAGAAAAATTCATTTTCTTGCATTCTTCATCATYTATTTCATGGGTTTCGAAAATCTTGAGTTTCAAGGTGAGATTATACACCAAAAACATKTAAAAVTKTTTATTTGATGGTGGTAATCCATGACCCAAATGATATAACTCAAAGATATAGGAAGAAATCATGATTTTATGTGGTTTATTTCATGAAAACTTAATTTTTGGTGCTGACAGATTMTSTGTATGTGCMCAAAATCGTCCATATCTTTTAAATGGCTTGTTCAAACGTTATGAGKTTYCCTTTAAAMGTWTRTTTACTGAGTTGGGGTTGCATTGCATTTGGTCTCACTMAMAATCATTGAGTTTTGACCCCCCAAATGCTCAAAACATTATATCTACGCATATGAGATTTTCCAGTAGGTAAATCCTACTTTGAATGGTCATAACTTTCTGKTTAACCATCCAAAATTGTTGATTTTTCTTCTAGATGTTAGTTTATTGAGATAGCGTTCAAATACCACCGAWTTCACTCAAAATGGTGGTGATTTGAGGTTTCATTTTCYTAAATTAAGATGAACATGCAATCTGTCCGATTTTGACAGATTCGTATATGTGTGTTACATCGACCATATCTGTCTCATAACTCAATGAAAAAGGATGAATATTCTTTTGAGAGTTATCTTTATGGATTTTCTGTTGTATTCAAGTGGAATCACATAAAATTATGGAGTTTTGATCTCCAAAAACCTTAAAATCTATAGGTGTGTAAAATGTAAAACCACCAGTAGGTAACCTTTACTTTGTATATTAATATCTTTCTACTTATTTGTCCTTAATGTATGATTCTTCTTCAAAAACTTTTTTTTTATGAGTTAGGGTTCATTTGAATCCAGTCTCACTCTAAAATACGATGTTTTGGGGCATGAACCGATTTTTATAAGTTAGGTGTGCAATCTGTCAATTGATGGCAGATGTGTGCATGTGACTTTAAGGTGTCATATCTTCCTCTCAACTCATCCAAAATGAGTGATTCTTAGYTTAAAAGTTTCGTATAAGTGTTAGGTTTCCAATCCAACTTGAATCTTTGCAGAACACCCAGTAGAACTACTCTGTTTATGAGTATTTTACTAACTTGGTGCAATCTGCCATTTCAGTTRTGATAAGTTGCATTGCATGATTTATTTGAAGYATCATCTCTTACCMAATCTTCATGAAATTTGGTCACGATGGCTATAACTCCGTTCTATAAACCATATAARAAGATAGTAACTTAWCTCATTTTTTAAGTCTCTTTATTGGATCATTTTTGTAACCTAAGTTTCTGTCCAGAATCTGAAATTCTGGATTTGGATAAATATTGTAAAAATTGATATTTTATGGGATTATAGCAACATTTCCGGTATGAATTAACCCCCTTTAATGAGCATATGGACATTATGTATATTTGGACTATGGACAATTATTTGGAACAAAAGTGGACAATTATGGACTTAGGATTTARTAAACCCCATAGATAGAGTTGATTCAATAAGTAATGATTTTGGTTATTCCTATTAATAGGGAACCGTTGATTTAGCCCRGTAATCGGATCGCATTGCTTTATCTTCAAAGCTCTATATCGAAAGGTGAGTTTCACGACCCTTTTTACCAATTTCTCGTTTTGGGGTGAAAAGCATGATTGAAATCGTTTGATAGATTTATATCGTTATATAAATCTTGTTATAAGCATTTAAATTGTACACACTATTGATATGTTGAGTAAAGTCCCTGTTTACACTACTATTAACTCTTTTGAGCCTATGATTCTTGCGGATAGCGCTATTTGGTTGTCATACCCACCTTGTTGCCGTTGAGTAGGGGTGYACTTGGTCATTAAATTTGCTCTACCCATGTGACACGAAGCGGTCACCTCTGAGGTAGTCYGTTAGGAGTGCTACCCATGTGGCACGAAGTGGTCACCGCTGAGGTAGTTCGGCATGAGTTCTACACATGTAGGGTTCGAGTCCTCACTGCTGAA